ATACTTTCAGAAACCCCATACCAACCCTCATTTCAAATACCTGTATAAACCGTATTTCATAAGAAAAGGAAAAGACCAATTACATTGTATTCTAAATTTTTTTTGTTTATTTCTTATCTTCTATAATATTTTAATATAAATTGATTTTTAAGGAGAAGGTTTGTATAAATATCGTCGATATAAATTTTGTGCAGCTATCAACTTAGTTTCTAAATAAAGAATAGAATGCAAAGTTATTTTAATGTTTCTATATAAAAAATTTTAAATAAAGAAATGATTTTTAATCTATATATCTAAGATATTTTACGGTTTTTTAAATTTAATCCGATGGGTATTGACAAATACAATAAAATTCGTATTTTTAGTTATATGTACTATATTACGGTATTAAATATATTGTTGAAAGTCTTGTGTTTAGAAACGCGAATGTAGGTGATGTTACGGTTATTTATATCAAGAATATACATTGACATTTTAATCTAAATTCGTAATAATTTTATCGAGGGCTTGGCGAAATGTCGACGAGATAATTCTCGCGTTGCAATCGGTTTCTCATTGTTGTCAGTGTATACGATTAATATTACCTTTCTGCCACTAATATATTGTGATATAATTGCCGAAATCAAGTCGCAAAACGTTGCGCGCGGCTAAAGTCTTACTACTCGATAGTAAAGCGCCTCTACTTATGAAGGGAAATGGCTCTGGTCTTCTATTTATAACCTCGTATTCGGCATGACAATCGGAAGTTCGACGGTCATCCATTGTTATTTCAAACGTGTCTAACAGCATGAATAATTTACACGATTGACCTATGTCTCATATTATGAAACGATGAGTTATGTCACACATTAAAAATTTTAAATACACGGAATATAAATCAAAGTATAAAAATTAAACAATCTCTGTTTTATTACTCGTAGTTTAAAAAACCAAAGTTTTACACCAAAGTTTTAGTTTATTATTATGACCATTTTAAGAATGTTCAATCCGTGTAACGTTTTTTTATGAATATTGTTAATATTTACATAATAATAAAAATTAGACATTTTTCACTGACGACGTGCATTTTGTTAATCCCTCCCAAACTATACGTAGTAACACAAATTATTATATCTTTTATTAATTATACATTTTGCGACCAGGCAAATTACAATGTTGTAAAAGGCATGTTAGAGTAATCAATCAAACACATTGCAAAAATTCTTTTTATAATTTAACAATTAAAAATAATCTCTCTGTAAACATCTCAACTCGATTGTCTTTCCGCTAAAATTTGACGGAAAATGTTTTTTTCTTTCTTTATTTCGGTCATAAATAATTATAAATTAAATAAGCTACAATATAAGTGGTATAAATAGCAATCAGTATATTTACAATCATACCACGTACACACAATTATATTTAACTATATTATACGTTTTAATAATTTTCCAGCATAATTATACGGTGTTAAGTTTTCGCAGTACAGGATGGTTCTGTATATTCGGTCTCTAATCTATAATTTGTTAAATATTATGATAACATGGTTATCAGCATTATCAAAAGCCTCTTTGATATCTGATAAATTACAACAAATGCGCGTCCATATTATGCATTTGTTGTGACTTCAAATATGAGAAATTGGGAAAGTAATATATAATACCTCTGCAGGACCTTTCTGCAATCTCATCTTCATTCTTCTCACTTACAAAATCGAACGTGATAATGTCTCAACAATTGAATTATTGTTGAAAGAATCGGAAAAGTGTTATATATGACATCGATTTCATTGAGAAAATATGATCAAGTTTAACTCGATCAAATAAAGATATTACACACGCGACGATAAATTTGACTTTTCAATAGAATCGTGTGAGTAACAATGACGCAATCAGAAGCAACGACGCCAACGTAATGGAAGTGGCAGAGTCTGGCATGCTTTGGCATGCTTTACAATTTTCTTCTATCCAATTCTCAACTTCTTCCCGATAATTTTTTATCCAAGCAAGATTCTCTATCGCGACGGTTAATCCCTCAACTTTATCGATCACCTGCAGTTTTCCATGTACGAGTATCGACAACTAAAAATGCAAAAACGATTATTTAACAGTTTTTCCTAGGATTGTTAATATTAGTCATTGATGTTATTAAATTATTTCCTCAATATGATATGTTGATGACAATCGACTACATTTTGGAGAAGCAATATTTCGCAAAATTGTGAAACGTCTAATCAATCCACTCTGAGATAAGATATCTGAGCGTGATCAAGGACGAGATAGAAATGAAATGTCTCATAGGTTCTAATTACTAAAATTGAGTTACACAAAAGATACGTTATCGCAACCTGATACGTATCCACATATGGCACGTAGCTGTTTAAAAAAAGTGTTTAAATTTGAGACAGTGTAAAACTGAGGATATTAACTACCCAATGTTAATTTTCAATGGATAGATATTAATTAAATTATATTGCTGAAATTATTTATAATAAAAATTAATTTATGCTGCGTATATATGATATGTGCGATATAAATGTTAAATCTGAAGGAGTATGTCTTTCAATAAATGCTTAATTTTCTTATTTATTTTATAAAAGCATGATAGATCAAATTAGAGAGAAATTAATACGTTACCTCTGTAAATTGCTTAGCTGATACGATTCTGCTAGAAAGTTTATTAAGGAGACTAATGAGCCGCGAGTTATCTTTCTTATCTCTGTAAAGAAATCGTTATATTATCAATTTATTCACGACGTATCGTGCGTTATCAAAGTAAGCAGTGAAAAACAACTTACGCCTTTTGGATATCTTCGATATAAGTATTGATGAATTCTATGAGGACGTCGAAAGATTCGGGGTTACCCGCACATACCGAATTCATCGCAGCGAAAACATCGACGACAGAATTCTCCTCAAGAGATGACTTGAGGAATCTATTGGCAATTTCTTTGGACTTGGCGCAACCAAGACCGGCCAGAACGTCCGCCTTCTCATCCTTGTCTTGGATGGTCTTGTACTTTTCTAGAGCCTTGTTCCATGTATCTACTTCTGCGTTTCGCAGCCCGGCGCAAAGAATTCCACTCCTCAGGTCCGGCACCAGGCTGAAAGCACGCAGTCGCAATTTTTATAGATTAGATACGCATGATGTTAACAAGACACGTATTCCGTTTTGTAATGCAGAGAATTTTTAACTTCACATATTTTTTAAAAATGATTCCAGAAAATAAAACATACATTGTATTTGCATCGTTGTTTTACAACATATATCTCATAAATTGTACGATAAATGATCTAAGCAGAAATCTTATTGTTATTTGCAGCAGGTATATAATGTGATCGTATAGTTGCGGTTTCACGAAACTGTAAATTTTTCGGACTTACATCTGTTTATTGTCCTTAGGGTTCTGTTCCAACCATTTTGCGAGCCTCTCATTAACGAACTTTTTGCAGTCTTCCAATTCATATCTACAAGCCGTGTTTAATGCCAACACTTTGGCAAGTTTATCTACATGCGTACCATTTTCTGGATTTTCGTAGTTGGCTTCCTTTACAAAATTTGCTGTCTTACTAGCGACATATATCTGAAATTCAGTGATGCATTAGAATGGTTAGAACGACACTCGCAAACGTTTTTCCTTTTTTTTTTGCTATTAAAACATACACTGTTAAATATTAAAGGATGAAATTTAAAGCAATACCTTAAATTAAATAACATTTTGTTATTTTTAACTACCGTGTGTGTGTCGAAATTTATTATTTTAACACAAAACAGTATTAACTCTATTGGTTCACTTCAACTTATAGGAATGTTTAAAAATGACTCAAATTGAGTATAATTTGACACTACTTTAACAGCGTACATCTGCAATATCGCGTATATTTCTTCTTATTTAGCTTACCTGATATGCCGTGTAGTTCTTCCCGCCTAGTAATACGCTGTCCAAATAATTGAGTGCTCTGGCAGCGGCATACCATGGAATATAATCAATCTCGTTTGACAGATACGACGTAATATTCAATGCAGTCGTATACTTCAAGCGTCCTGCTCGCGCGAGATTTAATGCGTCGTCGATCAGTTGAGCGCGGTTAGTCGCGCTTATATTTTTGTAATCAAGCGTTAATAAGTACTCCGATAAACGCACCCAGTTTTCGTTGTCATAATTTACACGATAATATCCTGTAAAATAATATTGTTTAGTAATCTTGAGTTCTACTCAATTTTTAATCATTGTCTTTGCGATAAATTTGCTTCTGTATACTTAATCATGATTATGAAACAAGCATAAGTCACTAATATAAATTAATTAATATGATAAAATAATTAAAATGTAAATTAAATAAATCATATTATTTGTTTTACATTACTGTGTACAAGACATAATTTTGTTACATAAAAGATTTACGGAAGAGAATATTTTATGATAAAATACAAAAGTCTATTTCAAAAAGCAAGACATAAACTACTTTCATTATAGAAATAAGTCTTCAATGTGCTCTGTCACTTATAAAGAATTTACACGTAACGTTAGTATTAAAAAAATATCAAGTCGATTGATAGATGCACAAATATCGTCAACAATGAATAAAAGATAGCGATGATCACCACATACCTGTTTGATCCTTATTAAAAAGTATCCATTTCGTCTTGTTCAAGTTTTCGATTGACATAACTTTTTCGGTCAACCAGCGAGATTTTCTATCCGCGGGCAGCACTTCTTCCGGATCCTCTTCCGTTACAAAATTGATGGGTACATACCACTGAGTCTCATCTTCTTTCGGTGATTTCAATAAGAAAAATCGTTCCTGTGTTACATCAAATTGTTCTGATGTCGCGTTCCATGTGACGGTGACAACAGGATATCCAGGTTTGTTTACCCAGTTGTCCATAACTTCTTTAAGTGTAACACCTTTCGGCAAATAATCTGCCAGTTTCTTCTTATCGGAATTTTGGATAGAGTTGAAGAGATCATCAGAAGTAACGGCCTCGCTCTTGCTAAAATCGAAAAGTTATGATTGTCTTATTATCTTATCGACTATATTTTTTTAAATGTTCCACACAACTGCAATTACTTCCAGTAATGGTCACAAGTAAAAATTAAAAAAAAATTAACTTTTAAAACTTATACATATATAGTTTTGTTATTATAAGTATATAATGATAGTCAATCCTATTTGATAATTTTTTTTTTTAATATTAGTTACATTAATTTTAAGTGAATATTAATATTAATACAATAGCTGATATAAAGATTTTGTGAGGCGTTTAAAAATGTCTTACAAAAGATAATAAGATTAAAGTGGTGAATTCGTGTGTTTATTAAGTATAAACATCGTTTAATGTTTATATAATATAAATGTTTAAGAAAACGCTTTCCTTACTTTTATAAATATGAATCTTTAAATATGATAATAATAAACTCACTGTTTCTTTAGATATTCTTTAAGTCCTTCCTGGAAGACTTTTTCCGTCAAAAATCCGTTCATCATATTAAGAATAGAAGCGCCTGCAAAGATGAATAATATAAATTAGAGTAATGATTGTAGAGTAATGATGTCATTTTTATTGCGTTATCATACAAAAGAAAGGATTAATGTACCTTTTTTGTAGGCAATGTCGTCAAACAAGCTTTTAATTTGGACGGGAGTTTGTATACTGGTTTCAACAGGATTCAATGGACGAGTTTTACTAGTTGCATCAACAACGAACGAGGATGCTTGCAAATTTTTAATAACGAATTGTTCCATAAGACGCCAATCGTCATCCTCATCCTGCAATTTAGTTCGGCTGGTAATTTTAATTACGATAAGTGATATACCACAAGTTTTATCATGTAAATTCTTTAAGAATATCAGGATTCTATATACAATTTTAATGCAGTATGATTAATTACAATGTTAATTGTAAATCGTGTTCTTTACTAACTTAAATTTATACATAATAGCTATTTCTTAATTCTTTAGTGCACAGAACACATTCTTATTATTATAACTTTCGAAATCAAAAATATTTGGTATTTTATGTACTTACCAATTTTGGAATAACTTTATCAGAAATGTAATATTGGAAGAAGGTAGCGAATCCTTCGTTTAGCCAGATAGAATTCCACCATTTGCAAGTAACTAAATTACCGAACCATTGATGAGCGAACTCGTGAGCTATTACCGTCCCTATAGCCTGCTTGTCTGCCGTGGTTGTTTTATTCACTACGTAGAGAAGTCGAGGTTCTCTGAAAAATAAATAATATGTTATTTCTTGATGAACTAATAACATTGTCGCGTTTATAATAATTATTTTAATATTTGTGGCTTATATAAATTAAAATCAATACTTAAAGAAATATAATAGTCACGTTAATTGTTTTGCAGACGCATAAAGATTGTGCAAGGCAAAAGTTTTTACATTCCATATAAAATTGATTACTTGTAAGTAATTTTAATCAATAAAACTGTTTAAAATTGCAAGTATTTTGAGACAACTTATTCGTTCTCCGATCAACGATCTTTGACCGACATTACCTGTACGTCACAAGACCCCAATTTTCCATAGCACCAGCCGCAAAGTCTGGAATGGCAATTTGATCCATCTTTTGCATGCTTTGTCCTGTTTTTCCGTAATAATCGATGCCGGTGTAACTCTTCAGTTCCTCCAACGTTTGCAATCCATAATCAAATGCGAATTCCTTCGCGCTGTCTTCTACCGTAGGTTTCGCCAAAACGCCAAAAGTTTTGTCTTTGTTCTCCTTAGTCTTGAAATCCGAGACTACAAAAGCTACGAGGTAAGTGGACATTATTGGCGTCGGATTGAAAACTGTTAGTCCGTCTTTATCAGACTTTACGCGCATATTTGAAACTGCTTTGTAACCCTGAGGGACTTTAATAGCAATATTAAAAGTTGCTTTTAATTCCGGTTCGTCCCAGCATGGGAAAGCCTGTCTCGCGCCTACTGGTTCAAACTGAGTTGTTGCAAGCCACCTGTAACATATAAATAATTGTAACATTTCGAACAATTTTCCATTTCTTGCATTTGGTTGTTAACAAATAGCATTGCTTGTTTTCAAAGAAATTATTTATCTTGATATTGATTTGTCAGTAAAAAATTCAACATTATTTAAAAAATTCCACATTATCCATTTTATCTAAAAAGAGAATTAATTATTCGATTCTTATAATAAAAAATTTTGAAAAAAAATTACAAAGAGAAAAAAACAATTCTTGTAATTAAAAAACTGGAAAAATTCCCGTATTACGTGAATTTATAATTAAGGTTAACTTTCTTTTTTAACAAGCTTGATTCAATCATTTAAACTGTAATACAGAATAAGAAAGATTTTAAATAATTTTAAGTTGTCGATATAAAGCTTACATAATATACAATATATATGTACAATATAAAAGTTTTAGACTTAAGTTGTTTCTTAATTATTTAGTGCACAACAAATTCTTATTAATATAAAAATAAATTTAACAATTTTTAGCGAAAATTAAAATAGAAATTTAATTGTTGTCTTACGTCTTTTTTCCGTCCTTATTCTGGTAAGAACTTCTGTAGAATCCACGTAAGTCATCATTTAATATCCCAGTATAATTCAAAGATAGTTTTGCATTTTCTTGTGTTTCAATTTTATCTTTAAAAGTTAGTATCACAAAGTCCTTTTGCGGATCATCAGAAAATTCTGGTTTCGCTGTTTTGGTTACTTTTTTTTTGCTTTTTTCGTCGGTCTCTTCATATGTTAAAATAGCATCCTCCTCAACGAATTCAAGTTCTTTGGCATGGAACTTTATGGTACTTGTAGCATTTTTAATTTCGAGAGTGATTACAGACTTTCCATTGAAACTAAAATTATTTTTGGGTGACTCAAAAATCGGCTCCAATGTGATCTCATAATTGGTAGGTACGACATCGCCTGGTAATCTATAGTTGCCTGAAACTTCTTGAATGAGTTCAGGAGGCACGTCATCGAAAATAGGATCGCTTGCCCAGCAAGCCGCTATAACAAGTATCAATGGCAGGAAGGACTTCATCGTTAACATCGGACCTATGTAAGCGGAAAAATTTTGTGATAACATAGATCCAATCTGCTTCTAAGAGAGTACGTAATACAAGAAAGTAATATAATTAAGATACAATCGAATAATGATAAAATGCATCAGATATTTCTCCATAAATAATTTAAGAAAAAATAATTTAATATTTATTTTTGTTTTGTTTAAAGTAAGAATTTGACAATAATAAAAGAAAAGTATAAATGCTAGAGGAAAGAAATTATATCAAATTTTATAAATTTTTTTTATATATTGAATGTTACTGTACAAAATATTATAAAGTTTCTCGATAAAGATATGCTTGCATCATAAACTTTTATTAACAAAAATATTATTTTTATTTAAAATAACTAATTGTTTCACAAGAGAGGTGCAATCGATGATGATTAATGACATACCTTAAAGCTAATTAAAGATGGAGAGCCGTGCGGGTCGATTCCTCGTCCCCGCAGAGGCGAGATTTGTTGAAAGACTGCCTGGTCAAAGTTTCGGGCCTTATAAGGCCGTGACGGTAGGACGTGTCGTCGTTAAAAAAATGTCGTTGCCACTTTTAATCTTATCGCCAGGTTCTCTTAGAGCAAAAGGTATTATACTTTTCGAGGTAAAAGAGTAAGTGGACCATCTCGAACGCGACTCGCAAAATTTCCGGGACAGTTTTAACGCCGACACCGCTGATAACGCTGATAACTAAAATACAATGTTATCCGACCAATCAATGGCAAGCCCGGTCAAAGATATCATGTCAGAGATCTAACTTTTTTATCATATCTTTCAGAACGTATCGAATGGTACTGCTTAAGCAATATGCTACATCGATTTATAAAGAGATGAATTTGTAACGCTACTATAGAAATTTTTACTTTCGTATTACGAATCACTTCTCTTTAAGCGAAGCTATTTACATGTTAATCTAAAAACATGTATATAAATTCTTTAATGTATATTTTTTATTTTCCTTTTTGATGTTTAAATGCAACAATTATTACGTATTAATTTTAAGGAAATATTATACCGAAGATAAGGCTAATTTTATTTTTAAAAAGTAATTCAATGTAAGATTATGATAAAAATTGCTGTATCATATTTTAAATGCACTCCTGCAATATCGATACAACAAGCAAACTATTTTTGGTTAATTAAAAATTGAAATGATTTGTAACGGCCCTAGATTGAATATGGCTTCAAAAAATTGTAATTTTAACTTTTTGCCTGAAAAAAGGTGTATGTATTCGTATACTTACCATATTTTCTTCACTTTCTGCGATCATTTTCCTGTTGCCAAAGTTAAAATGTAAGTTCTAATTATAGTCGGTCAGTATTAGTCAAGGTCAAAGTTTATTCTATTGTAAAATTTTTTTCTTGTTGATTCAGCAATAATTTTTTAAGTAAAATTATACATTTATTATTAATTCAAATAATAAATACATACGTATACAAAATAATTTATTAATTAAATACTTAACAATAATATATAATATATTATAATATAATACTCTTCAGTTTTTGTACATAAAAATATATATCTTTATAAAGTAAGATTTTATGTTAACCTTTTTTTTCTATTATCTCGCTATATTTACGCAGACAGAGATAAAAACTGATTGATCCATTTAGGATATCGTCTGCAAAGCATACAAGGGTTATAATATAGATACGTAAAAACCCGTTTAATTTTAACGTAATATGTTAGGTATGCAACTTTTTATAGCGTTAATAAAACATAAATGTAAATGTAAGAATACAGTTATAGTAAGAAAACACACGCGGAAGTGTCTCTCTTTGATGATGAGCTTTGATGAGCTTCTAATATTATTTTCTAGATAAAAATAAGGGACACTTATTTTCTTTATATGCCCAATCGCATGTTTAGGGAGTGAAATACTTTTTTAAAATTAAATTTTTTTGGGGGTAAATATCTCCGAAACTATAAATAAAATGTGTTTAATAAAAATTGAATGGTTTGAAGAATATTTTAAAACGATAACATAAGTACTTTTTTAAATTTAAAATTTTTTAAAGTACCCTCACCACACTAAATATTTATTTTTGACATATTTTGAAATTTTTAACCACCAAATTAAAGATTATCTTTTTATGAATTTAACTATATATAACAAAGTAATGTTAAAAAAAAAACCATTTTTCAGAATTAATTACAAAGCTCTCTCTGTACACGCGCTATCGTGACTATTATTCATACGCTCGATTCTTCACGCAACATGTTCTGTTCGCGTAAAATCTTCCCGTAATAGAAGATTAAAGAGATAAAAAATGGCGACAAGTACACGCGCCCCTGTTATCAATTAAATCTAATGTTTCAACATTTTATGCTTTTACACACTAGTGAATAAATTCTTTTCTCTTTGTACAAAACATTTTATATAAAAAACTGTTGCTAACTTATAGTTGTCAGTAAAATCTAATGTTTCAACATTTTATGCTTTTACACACTAGTGAATAAAGTCTTTTATCATGTATAGAAGATTTGATATAAAAAACTGATGCCAAAATTCTGTAAAATGGTGAATTACTACGCTTTAATATGAAAACGATTATATCGTCAAATAAAACTTTAGAGAAGTTTTATAATATCAGAACCTGAGACAAAAATACATATCTATCCCTATTTTCATTTAGAAAACAACATATTAAAAGTTCTTTACTTCCGTGTTTTCATGCAAATATATGTTGTGTAGAAAAAATTATCTCTATCTAAAGTTTGATTTAATTATAAAATATGTTGTGGAAAACTCAAACGAATGTATGTAACGAATAAATCAATATCAAAGATGATTGTTATGATGAAATTGTCATGATCAAATAAAAACAAAAGATTTATCAAATGTTTATATAATTATTTATATAAATTTCGTCAATTTTCACACAAGAAAGAAAATAATTTAACGAGAATAACTTGTCTGATAAATCTTAATATAATTGTAGTCTAAACTAATATTTTTTATATTACTCAGGAAATTGATATTAAAATAATAATTAATTAGACTTTCCATAAATAATATATTTTATAAAGTAAATTTTGTTCAAAGTTGAGGAAGCAAAGTTGAGGTACAGAGTATCATAATTTTTTCATAACCCTTTATTTGGTTTATTTGTATGTGTAGATTTGATTACAGATACAATGTACATTTATATTGAGATATATTCTATTAGTTACATAATATATTATTATATATAACACATTATATACATATATATGTATATGTTATAATACATCTTTAAATAACTAACCAAATAACACTGATTTTTCGATTTCAGGTAAAAATTTATTGATCCATGCTAGTGATGCAGTAGACACGGCAATGGCTTTCTTTGCTGAATTCAATGCTGATCCTAGGTCCTTAATGTTCTCGTCAACAAATAAGCGAAGCTATAACATTATAAACATTTTACTGATTTAATATAATAGTAAATCATTTTGAATATCATTAGAATATAAGAAAAATAATTGACATATTAAATTAAATAATTTGTATATGAATTAATACCTTGTTTAATTGGTTTTCCGTAATAACTTTATCGCCTATAGCTGTAAGCATTTTCGTTAAAAAATCTATTCCTCTTCTGTAAAAATAAAGATAGAATATTGACGGTATTGCAAGATTTGTTTTGTAAATACGAGAATTAATATTGCAAATAAATAAACTATTTCATTATATTTCTCTTTGGTGGTATTTACTAACTAACAAAAATTAAAATAAAAGGTTTTAATCAAATTTAATATTTTTTCACAAAAATCTATTTTCCGAGAAAACTTTTCCGATAAAAATAGTACACAATCAAATATTTGCCATTTCAACAAAATAATGTAATAAACAATACTATCTTGGTTCTCAGATGACAATTGTTTTTGAGACAACTTGTTTGTTATTTAATAAAGAAAATAACATGTGAAGTTATATAATAAAAAATATGAATTACAAATTAGAGAAAATAATGCATGATACGTACGATTTAATAATTGTACGCAAATTATTGCGAATAAAGTCGATGGCATAAATAACGTTTTCGGGATTGCCGTTTAGAACAGCATTAACTATTGTCATTCTGTATTGTTTGCGAAGTTTGAATCCATATGTTACGGACGTATTGAGATATCTGAAACTCGATAAATTTCAGTATCTGATCTTAAACGTTTATCTACGTGATTCGATTCTTGGAATCCACCTGTCAATTAAATGAGGAGTTTTAGTACATCCGAGTGCATTCAGTAAGAGCTCCTGTTCTGCGTGTAAGTCAGTGCGCAGAAACCGGTTCCAAACTGTGTGCCAATCATTATCATCACCTGAGCGAATGCCCACGCAGTACATGAAACTCTTGAAATCTGCTGGTATTGTGCTGCATAAAATATACTACTATTAAAATGTATATTGTGTGTTAATCAATTAATTATCTTTCTCGAAGATAAAATGTACTTCACGCGAAAATACCTATCAAGAGATAAAATATTAGAAACGATGGATGAGTTGACAAGAATCATATTATCTGTATATGCTTTAATTTCAGTATTTGGATTTATTTAAGTTTTAGTTAAAAATATTAATATTGCAAATGTGTGTGTACGTATACAACCGTATTGGTTGAATGAACCAGAAATTTTGCCGGTAACCAACCATACCTATTCTCAGAGAAAATCCAAAAATTAAATAGAGTTTTCGATGTTCTTAAGCAGCGGTCATTGTTGACCGAGCATGCGGCAGATAAGATCAATTCCTGATGCAGCTTTGTTATCGAACTATCGACGGGACTTTCCATAAAGTTTAATAGACCGGATATCGGTCGAAGTAAGCGATTTGCGTAATTCTGCAAATTACATCGAAGCATTATTAAAGAACATCAAGAAATAAAAAAACTATCATTAGATTTTGCAGTTAATAGTTTGTAATGATAAAAAAGTATCTTTAATAGAGTGCAACAATAATTAAAATTTTAATTAAATAAGAAAACAAAGAATAAACTTATGTGTTAATGTTAATATTTGATACTGTATTCTTATTATTTCTTGTAAAACTGTAAAAAAGATGAAATAGACATAAGCATTTAAAATAAAGAGCATTTGTTAATTTCGTTACATAATATAAATGAAATTTTGTGACCTACTTTTTAAATAATTTTTTAATAAATTAAATTTTGGAGTTAATTTGTTGTTCATATTAGAAAATAATCGCTTACCTGAAAGAGCCGTTGTACTCGCGGTGAACAGGCTAAAATATGATTGAGGAAATTGAAATTATTTACCGCAGCGACCCACGGTTCGTATTCGGTTTCACGCCTGAGATATCGCGCGAGATCAAATGGAACGGAATAATTCACATAACCGGCTCTAGCTAAATTAAAAGAGTCATCTAGAAGCGCGGCCCTGTTTATTACGTGTATGTTTTTGAAATTGTTCGACTTCAAGTAGCGGATAAGCATTTTCCAGTTATCCTCGTCATAATTGACTCTGTAATATCCGACTTGCTGATTATTGAAAATCACCCAGAAGTTTGGCTCGGCGGAACCGATTATCGTGCTTTTGTCTTGTGGCTTCAACCAGACAGTCGTAGTAGTTCGATCGAATGTAAAATTCGATTTTTCGGTAACGAAGGTTAACGGTATCCACCAACCCGACTTTTCGAGATCTGTTTGCGCCGCTCGGCGGTTCAAGTAAAATCGTTCTTGCGAGGCGAAGAGAGTCTTCGTCGTATAGTTTCGCGTAATGGTCACTAAAGGATATCCCGGCTGGTTTGCCCAAGATTCTACGAAGTCTTTTATAGGTACTTGCTTGTACAATTGTCCTGATCTATTTAATGCGGCCTGCAAGTGTCGATACAAGTCGAATGGAGTGGCTGCTTGATACGACCTAATAATAAAATTTTTGCAATGAGAACAATGTTAACGACAAAAAGCAAAAGAGAGTTGTTGTTATCACTTTGAAAAAATAAAATAATTGCATGGATCACGATTGTGCGTTTACGTTAAAAAATCAGCGATAAAAATTTAGAAACATTTTTGTAATACAGACACCTACATCTCGCGCAAGTAATTTTGTAATCCTAACTGGAATGCTGTGCTTCCGATGGTATGATTGATCATGCGAATTATGGATGCACCTGAAAACAATATAACAATTTGACAATATTACAATCTATTTTTATTATGTTTTGTGCGCTATATGTTCTTTCAGAAGCGAAATTATGATTAATTCTATGTTTATAAATATCTTTTTATAAATTTTAGTAAAAACTTAGTGTATAATCAGTTTATAACTTTATCAATTTTCTCTATTTTTTTTTAATACAGTTGATCATTATAAATTTGGCGTCTGAAACATATTTAAAAATATTATATATTATTATACAATTTTAGATAATAAAAGATTAAAAAGTTAAATATATATAAAATAAAAAGAAAATATCTTGTATACAATATCATACATTTGCATTAATATTAGATATTCATTAATATGTTCCAAACTGAACTTTCTGTTCAGGCCGTTTAATATTTTGGTTTCTTGATTATTAATAAGTATTTTCATATTAAATGTTAATATTAAATAAATGTTTAATAAAATATTTTCTTTGTATTTTGCATTGCATTTTGTACACTAGGTTTTTTTCATTATAATAATAATTTTTTTAGTTTTCTAATTATTATGGAACACTATTTAACAACTATAATGAACATATACTGCGCGGGTCACCGGTAACCTACGCGGCGTAGAGAATAAATCACGTAAAATTAGTCCGGCACGGAACATGTTAAAATTAATATATTCATGTGAAAAATTGTATATTTAAATATAAAACAATTTTATATTCAAACAGCATAATTAACTGTGTGCGTGTTTAATTTTTAGTATAATGTAGATAAGCATACGTAAGTTCTTGCGGCTTCGTGTAATCGTTGTTTTAATTGAAATTGAAAATGAGGAACATGGATAATTAAAGTTTTAATTCGTACGAAGTTGCTAAAATGCAAAAATAAGAGCAACGTACAATATTAAAGATAAAGATATTAAAAATTACATCCGGCCGCCAATAATTAATTTTTTGCGCGTATGATTTAAATAAGTATAAATCATTGGTGAAATAAAATTATCACATGATCGAAAGATAGCCCTATCTATTTTGTGGAATCGTTACACGTATATAGCGATATGATCAACGGATTGCGTAAGGAACAGATGACGCACAACTGTACATATAACTGAATGATCGAAGGTGATCGAATACGAATCACAGATTCAGAAACTGTTCAGAAACTATATCTGGCAAAATTCCTACCTCTCCTCATTTTATTCTGTTTGAAATTTTACAATTAGTGAAAATATTTTCAATGTAAATGCCATCAAGTTCACGAAAATAAATGATCACGCATGTTCTGTAGCATATACCTTTTTTATAAGAGACAAAATCCAACGTAGCCCTAACGCTGTCACGGCTTCCAACTTCTCGACCGTTCAACGTGCGCGTATGATTGTCGGAATCTGCGAGCAGGGCCGGCTGCAGGCAATCTACTACGAATACATTCATCATTCTCAGATCCGGCTCCGCTAAGGACACGCCGAAGTATTGGAAATACGTGGCGAAGCCCTCTTTCAGCCAGACGACGTCCCAGAATTCGGGTGTCACCAGATTGCCGAACCAACTGTGCGCGTACTCGTGCGCCATCGTCGACAGTCCGTTCACCGCTTTTCTCGTCGGGGTCCCGTCCTCGTGCAGCACCACGGATTCCCTGTAAGTGACGAGGCCCCAATTCTCCATCGCGTTGAAAGTGAAATCCGGTATTGCGAATTGATCGACCTTGACGAGCGGGCTCTTCACCGATAACCACGTCTGCAGCGCCGCGTAAACCGCCTGGCCGCGATTCAAGGCCATCGATCCGCGAAACTTCATGGAGTCTCTCGTCCACATCTTGAAGTCCTCCGAAATTCTCGATCGTTCCGGGACAAAATTGTGCACCGTCCATCCTACCAAGTATGTGGAGATTCGCGGCGTGCGACGGAATGTGGTCACGCGGTAGGTACCATTTCTGTATAATTTTTTGCAATTATTGCGATAGCGAGACAGCCCGATTTTTTTTCCTATTTTTCATGTATCTTTGCACACACAGTAAATAACATTTGTATTTAGACACATTTATTTGAGTTCTATCCGTATAGAAATTTTTGTGTTAAATTTTTTACATACATTCGTGTTAATGTAACAGTTTGTCATTATGTTACTTTCACTGTTCTGCGTTAAGCTAATATTCAACGTTTCTAAGAGTTAAAATAACACATTTATATGTTAATTAAAATAAACACCTAAGTTGTGTTACTTTCCTCTCTACGAGAGTTTCCATCTGTTAAATCGACATTTTCTTATGTATTAGAAAAATATATTGCTGTCTTCTATTATTTGCAAGAAAAAAAAGAAAGAATAACATTTTATTTTAATTAAATTTAACATAAACTTTGCTTTCAGATAGCGTCCATGTGTTATAATTTTGTGTTAATTTTTCACATATTTGTGTTATTTATATACATATTTGCCTTTTGTTAAATTAACATAAAAATTAGAGTAGCTAAATTGGGACATGTAAAACGTGTTAAATTTAACACACAATTTTTTCCTGAGCATATTTTTTAGTTTGATAAGATTCGAAAAATTATATGTATACTAACTCTATTCGTACAGATTCCACTGGAGTATTACTCGTCGCCTTTTGATCCTTATGATGGCCTATATGCAATTGGAATTCCGCTTTTAAATACGGCTCGTCCATGCAAGGAAATGCGCGACGTGCGTATGTGGGTGAAAATTGAGTTACGCCTATTCGTCTAAAAAATACGAACGGCAGTAAAAAAAATTAGAATAAATGTCAAAATTTGTTCTTATTGTCATAAACAAATATCTATAAATAATTGCTTTGCCACTTTCTATTGAGCAACAAGCTATAATTAAAACATGGGAAATTGAATATACACAATAAATAAGACATTTATAAAGTTATCTTATAAAAGTTGATATAAATTAATTGTTATAAATAACGCGAGATAAATATCGTGCTAATAATTATTATAGTTTTAAAGGAATCCTAATGGAGCGTTTCATGGAGCTCTTCATATATCTTTGCGCAAACTTCTCGTCCCGTTCGGATTTTATTCCGAACTACTTAGCGTGTAGCAGCTCTAAAATACGTCATATGTAACAGTCCTCTCTCAGAATATTACCTCAGTTTTCCATCAACTTCGTACAGACTTGCGTAAAAGCCGAATACGTCATTTGCGATGTGTCCTTTGAAGGATACTTCTAACGTGTATTTTGCCGGGTCTAGTGCGCGCTCGAGTTTAATCGTAAGCATTTGTGTTTCTTCATCGTGAATGTAACGCAAAATTCGAATCAGCTGACCCGATCTATCCGCTAAAGATGCATTTGCTTGTACGTTTAATGTATCCGTGTGCAGCACGATAAAATTTGTTTTTTTGAGCACTCGCAGGATAATCCGTACGTGGCCATTGTAATCCGCGTCAGTGGGGTGCGTGTAGATCGATAGATCGTAGGATATGGGAACGATTTTCTTGGGTAGTCGATACCGCGCGGAAACATCGTGCGAATTTTCATTTTCATCCGTGTCGGCGTTATCATACGCAAATGTCAGACTTAAAGCGACGAAAATAGTTAATAAGAATAATGGAGTGCGATTAGTCATTGTCGGCACAGAGCATGAATTTTTGTTCGATCGATTTTTAGAAATCTCCTTTATCAATTTCTTTGGCTCATATAAAATTCGTGGAGAGATATCACGTTATGATATATATATACTTGAGATAGATAAAAATTGACACACACACACGCGTATTACGCACGCACGGTCACATTTGCGCACGCGTGAATCTAGAATATGATCAGTACTATTCTTATTACTGATATTGCCACAACATGATATTTTGATTACTGATATTTTTTAACTTATTGTGATTGGATTCACGGAATTAAAGTCTACGGAAGGTTTAATTATACAACGGCAACGTCCAGCAATGTTTACGCTGCGTTGTCGACTTAAGACTACATGCTTTTTAAGATTACTGCGTAGTTGCTATACTGGCTGCGTTCAGATATTCGTTGTCAGTAATGAAAATCTGTAGTATACGTGACGTAAACTATACTTTTTCAGTACTATCGGAACGCAGCCATTATTTGTTATTAACGATCTCTCTCTTTCTCCCTTTCCCTCCCTCCCTTTCTCTCTCTCTCTCTCTCTCTCTCTCTCTCTCTCTGTCTCTTTCTGTCACAAGTAGATCGTCATCGATCGCGATCAAACATGTAATGAGGCAATATTTACCTGTCTCAGGTGATGGAGATAACAAATTTCAATGAGAACACAATGGGACATAATTATAATATGTAACATTATTAAACGTTAATATTGACTTGATTTTTATATTATCATAGCAATTAAAAAACCGCGAGATAAAAATAAAATAGAGAGAAACGAAGAATTATCTATATTAAATAATTATCTATTACAAGCTGCATGGAATACCTGAGATAGTGTCAGATTAAGAGAGACTAATCAAGAAAAGATAATTTCTGTTTCTTATCAAACGGAATTTCCGGTTAATCTGAAAAATCCAATTGCCTAACTATTTAAATTTCAGCTTCTAATATCCGCTTTATTTCTCTAAATTAAATTTCTCGCTTTGTGTGTCGCGACTCATTGATGGGTGTTCTACTCGCATCACTTCTCATTTGGTAGAGATGATGGCTGCTAGTTGGTGACAGTGTTGAGGTTTTAGGCACAACTTGCTGAGATTTGCATATAATTGCCATAGGCTACATGTCTTGCCTTTAGGCTGCGTTGAGGTTTACCTACATTCTATACACTTTGGAAATTGGAAATCTAAGCGATGCCTTAAGTTCGGTAGGTCTCTAGTTATAACTTATTTACAGGAAACTCGGGAACGGGCGCCTAACGCGAATTTTACACTCCAGTATCGAAAAAATAAAGCTCACGTTACAGTAATTTTAACGTGTTTCTGTCGTTTTTTAAATATTCTTTATTTTCTCTTACTATTTTCAGAAAATGTTGAGTAAATCTATATACACATTGTCCTCAAATATTAATAAATTATAGAACAATCAAAAATAAGCAATATGTAATTAATAACAATGACTTTTAATTGGAGTGTAAAAATCATTCTAGGTGACCATTTATGCAAAAAAAATCAGGCGCTCGATTTAAAAAAAGAAAAGTAAAACATTCTGCAGCCTTTACTTATACGTATGTTGTTATATACCTATATATATATATATATATATATATATATATATTAAATGTGTTTGCGTTTTTGCAAATGTTTACTTCGTAGAACAAAGATGATTCTTTGCATTTACGATAAAGCTCACACTGATAATTGATTATATCGCTTGTCGACAAAAAAGTATTATTTTTCAATAAATATCTTGATAATTATAGGCGTTGAATTAACGCGTGGAGTGCTACGATCTCTCGATACGGCGCGATATGTAATCTTTGTACAGATATTTATTTTGCTTCAAGAATTAGACTAATAATTTGAGTATATACATGCGAATAAATAAACGTATATCGAATTATATGGAGCGAAATTGAAAGATCGCATCAGATAAATTTATGTTTTCAAAGAGAAAGACACCGCGGAAAAAAATAATCTAATGGATATTTTTCGCACGCATTATAAAATTAACTTTTATACTTTTTTTCTGACATTACTAAAAAAAAGATTTCTTTCAAACAATTAATTTTTTTTCTTGAACTTAAATATATTATCCTGGTATTAATGGGAATAATAACATTATATAGAAAGAGGTTGTTTCATTTTAGTTATACAAAATTAAGAAGTTCTATTGCTGCCTTGTAACTATTCTGTGTCATACATTTTTATATCCGTACAATTATAATACATTTTATGCTTATATTTAATCTATTTAATCGATAAATCGGTGTTTTGTCGTCCTTTCGATATTTTAATTTCAAATATATCAGAAATAAAAAATTACTAGTTAATTAAAAAAGTTAATTAAATCAGTTAATTAAAAAATCCAATTTTTATAATAGCTAATGCAGTTAGTTTTTAATACAAAAAGACAACTATAAGTAGCGGGAATACTACAGAGTGAACCAAATGGAGAGTTATATGTATAATTGAAAGGCTGACACACGGCGGATGACTTGAAGGAAGTTGCAGTCATGATTGGCCTGCATAATGAAGAAGCTCGAACGCCATTATACTCGATGGCAAGCTTAAAGTTCCAGGTAGCTACCAGATAGGTACCTCGTGACAATCCTGAAGCGTTGCTCCGTTGAGAAACAATCCCTGGGAAAGTTTGTTCGGGTTATCCCGGTCTTTGTACGGATGAAACGGTGGACTGCGTATGTGTTTGCATAATTTTCTCCTTTGCAAATTTCTCCCTGGAGAATTAAGGTACTTTGAAATTGTGCATTGATGATGCGCGAGTGCATAATCCTGTCTCTCTTCATGGCGGCATACCGCAATTGTTTTAAATTAATATGATGAAAAATATCACTTTGCAATGTTAACAAATATGATTATTTTAGGACATTACGTGAGCGTCTAATTATAAATATCTCAGAGACATTCCAGCATACTTATCCAGCAACATTATCTGAAACAGTCCAATAAAATTAAAACAAAGTATCTGATAACATTTCTCGGAACATTATACCATAATATAATGTAATATAACGTAATTATGCAAGCAATGTTTTATAAAAGAAAATTCACCGAGTATAGATAAAAATGCGCTTTAAATCTTAGAAGTGTAATGCTCGTTAATTCAACCGGTAAATCGAGTTATCATCAGATAATGAATTTTATCGTTCTTATCGGATGTCTCATGAAACAAAATCCTAATGTGTTTGCAGCTTAAGAAGAATATTGCGGAATAACCCGACGAAGAGTTGAAGATCTGAAGAGTTTCACACAGAGTTTCTGCAAATCGTTATCTTGTAATTACAAGGGTCACAAGTCGGATGATTACCGTTCAAATATATTTCTGCACGTAAAAATCAATAAAAAATTGATTAACGTAGGATACTACCTTTTACTTATCATTATTACGACGACTGCAAATTAATCTTTCATGAGATTGTTAATGCAGTTAAATTAAATACACCGTGATAATAAATTTACTATATATTCTTGGATATGCATCACCGATTAATCTCTGTTTTGCTGGTTTCCTTTCGCAGTATTCTCCCGTCAACTTTCCGATAAGATTAAACGCGACTGATCAAACAAAAATTAATTTCCATGAACTTATTATAAAAAGCTGAAAGAATTGTCGTCAGCTCGAACTTGTTAGTATCTTTTCTAGAGAATAATCTGTCCGGTAAATCTTAATCTATATATGATATATGACGATACTATGGATATCTTGGTACATGTACTTTGTGATTCATAAATGAAAAAAATGATACGACAACTCTGTGACGTACACACACATATACGTTTTCACCTTGGGGATTCCCGCGTTTCAATTTTTACTACTTTGCCTTGCGGCGCGGAAGTAATAATATACGGAATATTTTTTTTCTACACAAATACTTAGATTAGAAATAAATTCAGTTTTTTCTTCTAAATCGAGACAAATAGCAATATTTCCTGTGTCTTCTATTTTGCTTTGCCTAGATTTCATATAGAATATACGCGCAGGTTATTTACGCGCCGGAGAAATGCAAATACGAACCGTGCGTAAATAGAATTACGTTTGGTTGATCGTTTTTTTTTATTTCCATCAAAAACTACACTGGTACAGAGTAATAATTCATTTGTTCAAAAATCTATCAACTAACTGAATTAGGAATATCCATAGCGAAGATTTGCATTTTTATAGTTTTTTTCATACTTTATAACTCTAATATCCCATGTTAAAATGGTGTATATAAAACGAAAAAGATTACTATGTACAGAAATATTATTTTAATCGCATTTGCTAAAAATATTTATGCTTATTTAATAATTCATATGTTTATAATATTTGCACCAATTTTTTAGCATTATATATCCTCCGTATTATATGCATAACTTTAGCGTAATTCCTGGATATTATTCATAGTTTTACCGTGATCCGCTTTATCGTGTTCCGAAATAAATTATTATCTCAAAAAGTTATAACAGATTATAAATAAGTCAAAGTAATTTTATTTTATAGTAATATTTTATGAAATATTTCTATGAAAGTAATGAATGGCCGTACCAATTTAGGATGAACAAGACCCTCGCTTTAGAAAAATGAGAAATAATATAAAAATCGATTTCATTAGTTCGCTTCAAGAATTCTATCATTTTCTTGATCATCTTCTTGGGACTCTAGAGCGCTATCTCCAAATTGACTGCTTCGGGAGTCGATCTAGACATCAACACTCACCCGCAATCAACATTTGCGATGAACGAAACTTGATATCAAAAAACGCTTGCGGGATACTGAAAAACTGAGGAACTTGTTTATTTTTTGGTCGTATTAGTTTTCCGCAATATGTACCGCAAGCGAACTTTTCATATTAATAATTGTTTTCTTCGTTTACCTTAAAAAAGAGAAATTATCCTTTGTATGTTTTTTCGACGTAATGAAGCAACTTGAGATTATGCTATTAAAAGTGCTCGCCTCTTTCTTAACTACTATAATATCTACCGGCCGCAGCTTATACAAAATTGTTTCCTTAAGAATAATATGGTGCACGACAAATTTATTGTTGCTAAGTAAAAGCCTAAGTTAATTCACTGTCTTAGGAAAAATATTGCTTTTATATTAAGTAACTAATATAATTCAAACAAAAATTTCTTACGCAACAGACAACTGCAGTTTGTCTAACATGAAGTTTCCTTTAACGTCAGTTCTTTGAATTTTTAATCGCGCCAGAGAATATGTACAAAGCTCTTTTACGTTTTTGCCAATACAATTTTTATTAAAAATCATAAATTCTCTGATGCGTCAAGGAATTTCCATCGAAATATCTTTAAAGCAACCAATTAATTAGCATCCATTTTCGACGTAA